ATACATACATACATACACACACATACATACATACATACATACATGCATACATACATACATACATACATACATACATACATACATACATACATACATACATACATACATACATTACATACATACATACATACATACATACATACATACATACATACATACATACATACATACATACATACATACATACATACATACATACATACATACATTACATACATACATACATACATACATACATACATACATACATACATACATACATACATACATACATACATACATACATACATACATACATACATACATACATACATACATACATACATACATACATACATACATACATACATACATACATACATACATACATACATACATACATACATACATACATACATACATACATACATACATACATACATACATACATACATACATACATACATACATACATACATACATACATACATACATACATACATACATACATACATACATACATTACATACATACATACATACATACATACATACATACATACATACATACATACATACATACATACATACATACATACATACATACATACATTACATTACATACATACATACATACATTACATTACATTACATTACATTACATTACATTACATTACATTACATACATACATACATACATACATACATACATACATACATACATACATACATACATACATACATACATACATACATACATACATACATACATACATACATACATACATACATACATACATACATACATACATACATACATACATACATACATACATACATACATACATACATACATTACATACATACATACATACATACATTACATACATACATACATACATACATACATACATACATACATACATACATACATACATACATACATACATACATACATACATACATACATACATACATACATACATACATACATACATACATACATACATACATACATACATACATACATACATACATACATACATACATACATACATACATACATACATACATACATACATACATACATACATACATACATACATACATTACATACATACATACATACATACATACATACATACATACATACATACATACATACATACATACATACATACATACATACATACATACATACATACATACATACATACATACATACATACATACATACATACATACATACATACACATACATACATACATACATACATACATACATACATACATACATACATACATACATACATACATACATACATACATACATACATACATACATACATACATACATACATACATACATACATACATACATACATACATACATACATACATACATACATACATACATACATACATACATACATACATACATACATACATACATACATACATACATACATACATACATACATACATACATACATACATACATACATACATACATACATACATACATACATACATACATACATACATACATACATACATACATACATACATACATACATACATACATACATACATACATACATACATACATACATACATACATACATACATACATACATACATACATACATACATACATACATACATTACATACATACATACATACATACATACATACATACATACATACATACATACATACATACATTACATACATACATACATACATACATACATACATACATACATACATACATACATACATACATACATACATACATACATACATACATACATACATTACATTACATTACATTACATTACATTACATTACATTACATTACATTACATTACATTACATTACATTACATTACATTACATTACATTACATTACATTACATTACATACATACATTACAACACATACATACACACATACATACATACATAATTACATTACATACATACATGGCAGCCACATACATACATACATGCATACATACATGCATACATACATAGATACATACATACATTACATTACATTACATTACATTACATTACATTGCATTACATTGCATTGCACTACACTACATTACATTACATACATACATACATACGTTACATACATTACACACATACATTACATACATACATACATACATTACATGACATGACACAACACGACATTACATTACACTACATCACATACATGTGATTATATATACACATATTCACGATACTTTTGAGGGCCATTCGAAAACCCAGTTTTCAAGACTTTGTTTCAAAGGAACACCTGCAGACAAACCCCCCAATTTTGGGGGGATCAACTTCCAGCTTTAAACCCATAAGCTTCCCTACCGCTTCAAACCAAAGGGGGTGGTGTCTCAACATACAGAATCCTCGCCTGTCGGTCCATCCCCACCCTCCCAGGCAAAAACCCACAAAACCATGCATTGCGTGCCTTATAGCCGAAGGGAACATGTATACGAGGGTCCACAACCCTTGTGGGTGTGCCTCGATGAGATGGCGGGGAAAACAAGCAGCCAACCCCCCCAGGGATGCGTGTGGGTGTGGCCTTCTGAAGGGTACCTTTTTCACCGACCGGGAAACCGACCGGAAAACCAGTTGGCCATTCTTGGCCTAGAATGATGATTCCCCAACGTATATACCAACCAACAATGGTTTCAACCATGGTTTCCAAGTAGTGCAGGATTTCGTCCCTCCACAGTATTTCGTACAAATCCAGACCAAAATGATGTCCACCAAAGGGTCGCCCAATTGAGTCATGCCCAAATGGCCCAATTGAGGAATCGGTTTTCGTTCTGCCGCTCATGTGGAACGTCTTCTCTCCTTGATAAAGGCCTTCGCATCTTGCGCGTTCCGCAGCGAATACTGCGGCCGGGAGGTTTTCCTCACCTGCGAATCGCTTCGGATTGGCGGTGGCGTGTCAGAGGGTGGTTTGGATTGGTGGTTTGCGGGATTTGCACACGTTGCACTTGTGGAGGCTAGATGGGAACCACTTCAACAACTGGTGAAATCCACAGTTGGGGCATCCAAATTGTTTGATGGACTCGCTACCTCGATCTAACATCCGAGATGTTCTTTACTCCCCCCTGGCATACAAGGTTTTACAGAGGCTAGATAGTGGCTCTATGACCCAGGAAACCTTTGGGGGTACTGGTCTGGGGCTCGTGGACAACTTGCTGTAAGCTAGGAAAACCAAATGCAAAGCTGGGTAGAACCACCACCGACAAGGGCCTCCAGTTCCATGGCTGCCGAACTACGCCTTCTGGGAAGCTGGAGCCACGTAACTAGTTCACCAACCAAAAGTGCCGATCCCTATAAAAGGAACCTTCATAGGTGGACGTCACAATGCCCCGAAGCATGTCGGTAGAACTTGCCCCAGAGAATCGAATCATGGTGGTGGACAATCACTCTTTCTGTGACAAAGCAGGGCATTCCCCAAACTGCTTTACTTAGGTTCCCTTATCAACCGAACCCAACCATTGCCATTCAATTGCCATGCAACCCGAAACTCTCGTCGGATCGGAGCATCGGACCTCCTTCAGGCAAGGCCAGACGTACCAGATCCAGTGGCTCGTCTTGCATCCCCGACGGATCTCTCCCAGCGCCTCCAAAAGTCGGGATCAACCGGGATCAACCTTTGGTCAGCGCGACGCTCAACCGGTTTGGCCCCGACTCCTAGGCACCTTCCGTTTTGCTGTTGGTTTCTCCCCCAGGCGATCGGGTCAAAAGCAACAGCGCCAGGCGGGGCAGCGAGGCTTCCCGGGCGTGCTGCAGCGCAGTTCCCCCGTTGGCAAGGGAGTCGGGGAGCGATACTGCAGAAGTGAAGGAGCCCCCTACTCAGTAACCAGGTCGTAATTAATCCTGGGTTGATATTATAAAAGGGTCATTCGTTTACTTTGGGCGCATGAACTGTTTATTTACTGGAGATATATGTAAACACTAAGTGCGAAAATGTCCCACGGACCCTTCCTCTCTTTTCCAGCATTGTGTGGGTGCCTGATTTGCATTCCTCACTCAAAAGCGGGTCCTCTCCACGCCCAGTTTAAACCAAACAAATGGCACCAGCGTGCCTGGCTATTTTCTGCCGGGATGGAAACACCAGGGGAATGCAAGCTCCACCGAATCCGGTCACAGGATTTTGGATGGAGTCTACAAGAAATCAAAGGTGTCCTCCCTCAAAAGACGCGGAAGAAGGATAAAGTCCTGAACCAGGTCATCGACCTTTACCCGGAGGTTGTCCTGGAAGCCCTGGAAGTCCGGGCCCAGGAGTTGAATTCCCTGGGAATGTGATTTTGAGCCATGGAACATCCGTGCTTGTGAAGTTGCAGGACGAGCTCCATCAGGATGACGACTGCGTAAGGCTTCTTGGATGAGAAATTCCACATGGCGTAAACATTGCCCTGGTTGTCCACCGGTAAGCGTGCCCGGCATGAGGAGCTCCCTTGCTTCTGCGCCTTGCACAGAAGGAGAGTGCCAAAAACTTCCAGGGCAATTCGCTTCACGGGGTTGCCGTCCTTGAAGGCCCACAGGAACTGCTCCTGGCCCACCTTGAAGTGGAACCAGAGGACTGCCCCCTTCACTGGGCTTGCTGCGTTAGAGCACCACCCATGCAGGCGTCTCCATGGAGGAAGCGCCTGCACTGCATCCCCATTCCGATTTCGGGAGGTGGGGAGGGTACTGCTCAAATGGGATCGTGAAGAGCTCTTTGAGGAGGAAGGCCAACAGGGCGGCACACACGCCGTCTCTGGGGTTTCTGTGGACTCCTCGGCCCTCAGCCTTGGGGGATTTTGGGAAGACCGGAGGGCTCAGGGCACGCACGGTCCGTCGCAACAGTCGGAGTCGAACCACCTCGGCTCCTGATTCCGTATCAACAGAGACATCTGGCTGTGGCTCAAAATTAAACAGGAGGGGCAAACCGCGGGTTTTGGTCCATGTTCCCACTTACCAGGGCAACCCATTTTGGAATTCCGGTTTGTTGAGCCACAGCCATCTGTTTCTGACCCTCGAGGGAGCTATCTTCCACCTGCCAGCTCATCAGGATTCGCGCTGGTTCCGCAATGTCTGTGAGCGAGAGGTCACTGACGCTCCCATTCTTTGGCTTGCCGCACCCTGCTCCTTCGTCCGTAGGATGCGCTTCACGCTGAAAGGTCCCGAGCCTTTCATCCAGGCTACCACTCGGAAGGATTGAACCTCCTCATCTTCGAGTAGGCTCCGTGGGCTCCTGCTCCTCCTGGAGGATCACCAGCCAGGACTCCTACGGGTCACCCCCGGTGGCGGGTCACCTTCGGTCAAGTGTCCACCTTTGCCGCCGCTTTCGGACCCATCTGGACTTTCTCTCCGCCGTTTAAGGAACTTTTGGGACTTTCGGGCCCTCGAACACCGAGAACGAAAACGGAAACAAAAGCGAGAACAAAAAAAACTGCTGGACCTGCCAAACCGAAAAACGGGCCTGGGGGGGTCGAAAGGACCCCTGTTGTTGTTTTGTTTTTTCTCCGCGTTGGATCTTATGGCTGTTGGGCCAAACCAAAAAACGGCGCCCGGGGGCTGGGAAAAAAAAAAGCAACAACGGCCAAAGCGTACGCGCCTGCGCGTAGCCGTGCTTGCCCTCCTGGGCCTCCTTGATGGCTGCCAGAGGCGACGCCATCGGCCAGCGAAGCGATCCCTAAGCCCGCCCCGAAAAACACGAGGCTCCAAGGGGCAAAGACAAGAAACACTAGGGGGAAAAAAATCGCAGGAGCAAAAAAACAACAACAAATGACAATTCCCCAGAAAAGCACGAGGTGAAACAACAAATGGCTATGAGGGCCTGAAGCACTCTGGGTTTGTGGGAGTTGTGGTGTGTACTTTAAGACGAGATTGTTTCGTGCGTGCAAAGTGCTTGAGCCCGGCTGGCAACTGCACGCAGAGAAACATGCACGAAATTCTTCATGAGTCAAGCATCACGAAGACCGAGGATTACGCCTGGAAAGCGTCCCATTCTAGACGAGTTGAGAACGTACCTGATGGTTGTGGGCCATTTCCCCAATGTTTTCGCAGGGCGTAATATACACAAACCCTTCGACCTGAGAGAATCACCCCAAAATCGCTGTTGCCACCCCCAAACCACCATGGGTTCTGTTTTCCAAATCGCGGTAGTGGTTGGGGGTATTGGAACACCATCTTCATTCATTAGCCGCCAAAATGCGAAGATCGAAATACAGCAACCCGGTCCCTGCCCCAACTCACGGTCGAAGCAATCTGAGCGAAAGCATGCTGGGCACCCGAGCAGTGGGAGGAAGGGGTGATTGGAGTCCACCACAATGTCAGAAAGGACCAGCGTGGGAGACTCAGAAAGCGAGTTCTCGCACGCCGGACGCAGATTGTCGTGTTTAATGAGTGGAAGCTCCTGTGCCCTGTTTGCCAGTCAGAGGGGGCCAACCAGCAACCTACACCTAGGCTGCCCACAAATGGCTGTAAAGGTTTGGGGCTTCGCATCTGGCCGGGCCACAAGGGGAAATTGGCGCAACTCCCCCAGCCCTCTGGCTTTCTGATTGAATTGGTAGTATTTCCTCCACCCCACCCCAACTCACCCAACCCAACTAACAAACATGACCGCATCAACCAGGGTGAGGCTACACTCCATCCTCCCCGAACCAACAAACATGACCGCATCTAATATGAGGCCTCACGCCATCTTCCCCAACCAACAAACAACCAGGCCTCACCCCATCCTGCCTTAACTAACAAACCTGACTGCATCAACCTCGCTGAACCAACAAACATGACCGTATCAACCTCACCCCATCCTCCCCCATGACCGTATCACCATGGGTGAGGCCTCACCCAATCCTCCCCGAACAAACAAGCATGACTAAATCAACCAAGGGTGTTCCCACCCCATCCCCCGAACCACCAACTCCCATCCCATCCTCCCGAACCAACAAATATGACCAACTCAACCAGGGTTTTCCCGACAAAAAACATGACTGAACCAACCAGGGCGGTCGCACCTCACCCCATCCTCCACTCTCCCTAATCCAGCAAGCCGAATTGTGCATCCGGAGCTACCCTTGGAGCGAAATTTCAGAGGGATAGGGCCCCGAGTCGCACTCAAGACCTGAACCCTGTCAACCCGTACCTTGACATAGTACTCTTATGAGTCTGGTGTTAAGTAGTCCCTCCCAAGACCATGGCACCTGGAGGGTACCCACAAGATCAATGTCGTCTTGGAGGGACCTGAGTGCCGTGTTCGTGCACCGGTCGACTCCTTCGTCCTTCGGGCCCCCCCACGCCCACCGGCAGCTGCGACTCCACCAGTCGAGTGCAGCAAATCACCTGACGGAAGAGGTCCATGTTGGCACATTGGACCCCCCCCGGCTTGAGTAGCTTGAGTTCCCACAGACCCCAAAGAACGAACACCCTGTCAGGTTCCTGTTGATTGGTGGGAGGGGAAAGTGACACCAAAAAGAAAGCGGCCGGCACACTCAAAAAAAGACACACTCACTTGGTCCCCAAAATGATTGGTGTCCTTTTTGGATTCCCTTTAAACAACCCCAAAACGATGCCTTTCATTTGAATGGGGTTGCGGAAGGAAAAAACAGTCTGATTTACAGGCGGGGATCCTCAAAACCTCAATACCCTGTTGAAAAGGCGTGAAGAGGGAATGGGGCTGTTTAGTGCCAGTCTGGAAAACTCTAGGAATAGCATTGCAACAGCAATCCACCGGAAAAGGGTTGTGCTTGCCTGGGTTCTCAACGACATCACGAGTCTGGAAAAGGACACTAGGTGCTTGGCTGCTTGGAAACATCAAAACAGACAGCCATTTGGTCATTGGCTGTGGGTCAAAACTAGGTACCTAAAATAAAACCCTGGTAAATGGAACCAAGGACTAAAACATGCGGTCCCCTGGTGGCTTCATTTTGACCCACACCCATTGAAGCAATGGTGCCCTGGCTAATTTGCTCGTCCCTGACAGCCAGTTTGTTTAGAATTCAATGTGGTTTTCTGTTTACCCCTGCGCTCGGCCCGGGATCGGAACACGCACATGCTGGAGGCGTCATACGTGAGTGCGGGCTCTTGAATATCTATTTAAGCCCTGAGAAGGTCTTGAACCAACCCCCAAATTCCAGAACGCCCTGCAATGGGTGTGTCTTTTTTGAGAGTACCCATTGAAAAGAAAACCAACCACTGTGGGGGCGGTCCTCTGCTTTTAAAGCATCCACGTCCTTTTTGTTGGGGGGTGGCCATGTCATCATTGGAGCGGTCAAAAAGGTCACTCCAACCGTACGGAAAGCGGCGCAAGGACTGGCGCCTTCCTCTCTCGTCCAGAGTTGGTTCATAGAACCGTTGGGATGTTTCTCAAAACGCCGCCCGATTTCTGATCCCCCGGCTAAAAGTGAATAACTGTTCGTGCGTTAAATAAAATTCTACCACTACACACCAAAAGGATCTAAAAAACTCAGTTGGCACCGCATGGCTGGCTTCGCCACCCAGAAGATCGTGGTCCCCCAAAGTGGTGGGTGTCCTTTTGGCCCCGGTCGATACCAAAAGGGTTGGCCGCCGTTTTCAGGGCTCCCGAGTTATTTCCCCTTAGAACATCACCCCCACCAAGGGACACTCACCTTTCATGGGCCAGAAAGGCGATGTTTAAAACCACCAAAAACGGAAATATAGGGCCCCCTGATTTTGAGAAACACCCACTGGCGAAGCCAAGCGGTCACTTGTAGGCCCTCTTTCACCGCGCCAAGGGCCAGGTTTGCACAGGCTATTGGAAGACCAGCATGTACATATGACTCCCGTCCACTTCCATGGCTGTGGGAAAGAGCACGACCACCCCGTGGTCCAGTCGTTTGGGCCCAAAAACCAAGAGTTAAACTGGAGGTCAACTGACAGGTTGTGGTTGGAAAACCGAACGGTTGGTTGTCCTGAACGTTTGAAGGAAACCCAGCCCGCACCTCGAAATCCACGGTCCACGTCTCCTAGGCCACGTCTCAGCAACAGCTGTGGAAGCTGAGCTTGTTTGGCTTCCGGGGCCTTCCTTTGATCTCCCTTTGGGCTTCCTTTTTGGTCTCCTAGGTCCTCCAGTAGTTTGAGGTTAGAATAAGGCTACCGACTTTTTTTCTGTAGTCTACTTTAGTAGGGGAACCCTCCCAACCAAAAAAGGGTAAAAGGGCACTGCTAGGAGACCTAGTTCTTTTTTTGGGGCTTCCTTCTTGCTTTCCTCGCTAATCTCCTTCTGTTTTCCTTGTTGGCTTCTTTTCAGGACCTTTTGTTTTCTTGTTGGCTTCTTTTCATGAGGACGAACCTGTTGCTTTCCTTGTTGGCTTCATGAGTGCGAGTTCTAATTCAGGACCCTTTGGTGGACATCATTTTCCCAGGGATTCAGGCCACAGTGATGCTTAATTCGGGACCCTTTGCACATTTGTTACGTGGGAATTCACGTCCACCCATTTTGAGGGTATCAAAATTCATGGCCACATGCGGCCTGGTGCTTTACCTGATTTATCTTCACCCCTGATTCATGCTAATCTGCTCCCCACTGAGTCCCCGCAGAAAATTATAAAATCCAACACAAATCCAAATCGCAAAAGCTCAATATCTTCCAGTGCTACTTTCTGACATATTTTGATTTCCATAACCGACATCTAAGAAAACGACTATATCCAGCAACGGCAAAACTAGTACTACAGTGCGCTGAAAACTTTCAGGTCCGACGAGCTCACAAAGGACACCCCCCTTCAAGGCCAGTCCCCCCCCTAATCCAGAAAAAACCCTCCAAAAGCTGCTTTGTTTTTGGAGGGGTCTCAGCTACTCAGGGGTATCATCTATACTTTTCATTTTTTTCGAGGCTTCAAATGGCTCCTGCTTGTCCGCGTCAGCTCGCCCAGCACCCGCGTGCGTGATGAAGATCGCGGAGGCGCCTGGAAAAGGGTCGAGGGTCGGTCTGAGCTCAACACGGCTCCGGGGGCCACCTTCAGAAACTAGGTCCTCCAGTAGTTTGAGACCCGATCTTTTTTTGTAGTCTATTTTAGTAGGGGAACCCCCCCCCAAGAAAGGGTAAAAGGGCACTACTGGGGGACCTACGAAACTCCAAACACCATCATGTTTAGAGAAATCCCCTTTCAGGGCCCCTCTTTGGCGTGTATCTCCCCTTTGTGCCCATTTTGACCACTGGCTGAGGATTTGGGTTGGCGCGGGGTTACCAGGATGAGGTTAAAACGTACCCTCCTCGCTCTTAAGGCGTTTAGAGGAACCTACTTCAACCCCACATGGTTCCCTCCTGAGGAGTCACCTAAAGCCCCCAGATGGGTTGTTCCCAAACCCTGGGCTGCTGAAAACAGGGCATCGGATCACTCAAAAGTACACAAGAAATCAGATGTTCAGGTGATGTGTCATATTCTTGATAGAATATGACATGTTTGAGGAGACCGTTAATCCTGATCCATCATCCGCGGGACACGATAGGGTATAAGGATTAAACATTGCCTTTGGAACAACCAAGAAAACCAGCAGTTCTCCTCAGGATTCACCCAGAAATCTAAAAAACAAGGTAGGAGAACCAATACCAAAGGGAAAAGATACAATCGCCTTTGGCCCCGAAGGACACGCGGCTGGACAGCGGCAACATATGCTGTTTTCAAGAGAGTGTGCTCATGCCAGTGATCGGTGGCAAAAGGCCACCATACTGTGGATGGACAAAATCCTGCACCACCTACGAAACCATGGAATGATGATTCCCCTGTATGGTTTCAAAGTGGTGCGAAATGGATTTCGTCCATCCACAGTAGTGTTCGTTGTCAACATAGGCATCACACAAAGAGCCGTGGGGACGAGGTGTGGCTTTAAGGCCTTGGTTCCCAAGCCCCAAAACCAGGCTCCAGGGGCGAGGCTTTGTGTGATACCAGGGGCCATCCCCAAGGGGTTCCCAAACCATTGCCAACCCTTTCTTGTCCCACGACTGTGGTTGCATGAGCAAGCATACCGAACAGAGGCCAAGAGACTCAGCTGAAACCATTTAAGAGACAACCTAGAAAGGCACCAAGGCCAACCCATCTAAAAGGAAACTCAGAGGAAGCATCACACAGGGGGCGCGTCTTTGCTTGTGAGGGTGCCTCTCTTTGTGCGTGTTTTTCTTTCGGGGGGGGGGGGGCTTGTTGTTGGAAGGGAACCAAAGGAATACGGTCCAGTTTTTGGTGTGGGCCCCGGTGGTCCCCACGTTGAGCGTATGCCAACATATTTGACAACCCGCCCAGACATCTGGGTGTGTCTTTTCGGGGGGACCTATTGATTGGTTGAAGGGACCAGCAGGAAAACCCACCATTGGGCATGGGTCCTTGAAGGATACATCGAAAAACGACCTGCTTTACAGCAGGGTTGGTAAAAGTGGTTTGCTCAATTGGCTAAAATGTATCCTCGAAGGAAGGCTATACGACAAGTTCAGAACCATTTCTGGCAGTTGGGGACTCTCCTGTGCAGGGCTCCCTAGATTTCCCCCTAAAGTTTTGCCTTGAGTTGGCAACCAAAAGGTGATGTTTCAGGCCACGTCAAAATAGGGCTCCCCAAAAAATGATCCCCCGTGTTCATGTGGTCGTGGGTCAAAACCCAAGGTGCCCAAAATGGGGATGGTTACCACTCCACTGTTGTCTTTTTAGAAGGCTTTCTGGGTGCACCCCCACTAAACCCTAAAAGTATAAAATGCCACGGGGATGGCTGGGAACCATGATCCCCCGGGTTCTTGCTGGTTCCCTTGCACTCCAAGGTCAAACAAAAAAACTCCCCACGGACCATGCGCCTGTGAAGTTGGCTCGCTGAAGGTCCAACAACGAGGTGGGAGACCCTTGGAGGAAGTAGACCTGCGGCTTGAGGCGGGGTCCCGAAGCGGGGGGTTGGGCGGAGTTGGTGGGAGGGTTTGGGGTGGGATGTGGGGAAGCGGTCCAACCCAGAAAACGCCCGGAAAACAAAAACGGGGGAAAACGGGGGGCCTCGCCCTGCGTTTGGGGCACTTTGATTGTCTGGGTTGTGGTGGCAGAAAAACTCATGTTGAATCAACAAGCTCCACAATGATTCGAGGTCTTCCCCGATGGACAAAATCCTGCACCAGTTGGTAGGTTGTTTGTCCCAGTATTCACTTGTGCAGGATTTGTCCATCCACAGTACAAATTTGTTGCCACGTATTGCAAAAAAAAGCCAAAGCCATTTCAAACTTATTGCAACCTGTGGGCCAGACCTACACCCCCTGCACAGTGTTAACTTGTTGCTTTCCGCATTCTCATGTTTCGGAACATCACTGTTGAGCGATGAGTAAAGAAGAAGAAGAAGAAGAAAAAAGGAAAAAAAGAACAAAAAACAGAACTGGGGGAAACCAAACCGGCGAAAGTTAAAACGGTAATCTGAGTCTGACAAGGGTCCCCTGATCCTCGTGGCATCAAAATACCCCACTTTACAGTTGCTTGCGACAGAGTCCAAATGCCGTCCCCTGGCTCCTGAGGCTGTCTTACACATGAAACTAGCAGTACTTCCGCATTGTGTCCATGGATCCTTCTTCTCAGAAGATGGCTGCAACGGTGGAATTCGGGATGCTGAGAAGAACAACGGGTGCAAAGAACAGATCAGAAATGAGAACCATCAAGGCCAGTCACCGGAGACCAGCCCCAACTACTTTTAACAAACCCAGAGAAGCACAAAACTACGAAACACGAACCAAGCGTTGACAACCCACACCACGCCGGGGATGTTCTGCCTGAGTGTACACACACACGAGACCCCCTGAAACAAAATCGACCGCCCTGCTTCAGTTGGTTTCTGGGCTGTCCAAACCGATCCCCCGCTACAAGTGACTAACTTCTAGTGGGTGACATGGACATCCAACCACTAAAAGGCTAAAAGGATGCCAAAAAGCTATCAGGGCAACCGGATGCCTGGCTTCGCCACCCAGAAAATCGGGAAGGACCAGCTCCTCCCTATGCCAAATCGAAGACCAACCCCCACAGGTCCACGGGAACGTCGCGCGCCACCGGGCGCCTGATCGCAATTCTCCACGTTGAACCAATCCCTCGGCTGCATGGCCTCGATTTGTCCGGTTGCGAGAGCGAGCCAAGCGGAGGAAACCCTGAGCTTCACTGGGGCAAACGAGGCAAAAGCAAAGAACTAGGCCTTCGAGTAGAGAGGTTAGAATAAGTTGGTACCCGTGTTTTTTCTCTGTGTTGTCTCTTTTAGAAGGGGAACCCTCTTCCAAACAAGAAACGGTAGAAGGGCACCTAGCTGAAGGACCTTGAAAAGTTGCAGAAATGGATCTAACTTAGAGCCCCTCTCAACGCCAGGAACAGCCTGGCTGATTCAGCATCTCCATTTCGTGCAAATCGATCAAGAGGTGTTCCTTTGGTTGGGTGACTGCTTTTCATGCTCTTTCCGTTGTCCCTTTCCAGACTCCATTGAAAAGGCACCCCGTTTAGACCCCTCCCGGTCTTTTGACGGCAAAAATGTAAGCCATCTTCGTCCCAAAACTGGAGCCAGTGTTTGACAACCCCTTGTGAACCCCCTTCTTGAGAAAGCAAAGCCAGCCCAAGAACAACACCCACAACAGCAACCCCAACCCCACCCCTTCTCAAGAGTAGTTCTCCAAATTACTGTTGGGTACGGTTTCCCTTAAGCCATTATTTGGGTATGTGTCAAAATAGGTAGCAACATGTTGGCTTTCCTGTTGGCGTCCCTTTAGACCGACCCCAAACAGGAGTACCGTCTCACAAAAACACACACCCATTTAGCATGGACCCCCTCTGGGACAGATTCTAAGATTCGCACTGACAGCACCACCACCGGGATAATCTCTTCGGTGATGATGTTCTGCCGCAACGGCCTCAGTCGTGGACCCTTGCTTCAGGTTTAAACACCTACTTACATAGGTAGGTCGCCGCTTGTCCCAGGCGATCCTTATGTCCTGTGCCCTCTACAACAGCGCGAAATGTCACTCCTTGCTTACTTCCATTTGCTTAGGAATATGTTTATTTCCCCCTCACTACTGGAAATATTGTGTTGTGTTTTCCCTTTTTTTTCCGGGGGGCTTCAGCAAATGGAGGCTTAGGAGGCAATCGGATACTTAGTCAGTGGTTTTAACCAACCCACTTCCACCTACAAGTCCCCCTTTGGTGGATTGTAACCAGGGTTTACCCCACTCACACCTATGATACTTCCCCGTTCTGCGCGTGATTCGCCCAAGGTTAACTACCTAAGTGCTGGATCGCCGTTTGTCCCCAAAAGGTCCGTCCGGGGCCGATGCCTCTCACGCTTGCTGGCAAAATATGTTTGAACAACCAGACCCGGGCCACCTTTACAGAAACCAAAGGCTGGTTCAAGCAGTACCTGGATCGGCCAGTCGCTGTTTTTTTTGCCTGCAACTGTGAGAGAGTGAAGGGTCTGGCAAGGGGCAGCAACTTGGCTTTCTAAGTAGGCATAAGTCTTCTTGGTTGGTTTGCTTAAACATAGAGGGCCCTGGTTTAGATGGGGTTTATTCCATTTGGCAGTGTCAAAAACCCATGGCCATGAATGATTCCTTGTCCATTCTTTTCAACTATCGTTCTTTTCAAAAACCGGATCAGTTTCCAACCTGGATTTTTGATGGTTTCCTGAAAAGATTCGGATCCCTGGAAAGAACGGGGTTGTCCCAAAAGCCTACTCCCATCAACCCATCATGGCTCGCCAAATTGTCAACCCTTGACTCTGTTTCTTGCAGAAAGTTCTGTACTTCGCCCTGCAATCCCTTCCTCCGAATCAAGATGCCCTCAATAATAATATTGTTTGTTCCAGAATTCAAAAATGTCCTGGTCCGTGAATGCTAAATGTCTAGTCTGAAGCATCAAAATCCCTTGTCCTGGATGTGGTTTCTTCCGTACTCGGACCTAACGCAAGGGCCTTGTAATAATATAACTTGGTGTTCATCTGGGAAAACATGTTTTAACTCGCTTTCTTTTGCCAGGGAGAACCGGGAGCCCAGGTCTTTTCAACCGCCCAGAAAAGGGACAGACACCGCGTCCTTCGAACCGCCGAGCCGAGCCGCTTCACGAAGTGCTCGATGCCCAGCCGCAAGTCCTGGCACAACGCGTTGGAAAAGCTCAAAAATACCCCCCCTGGCTTGGAGATTCACAAAGGGTCTGGACTTTTGCCGGGATTTCCAGTCCCGTTTTGTTCTGGGAAATGTTTTTTCCTGGATGTCATAAAACCTCCTTTCAGAAAACCTCGTGTTCTCTTTCTCAAACTCTGCTTTGGCCCAAACCCCAAGGTTTCTTCTCAAGGACCGGAAGGAAATAGAACTGCCGGGCTTTAGCGGCGGCGGCTGCGTGAATCCCAGAAAGAAAGGGAAACGGGTGAGCCGTCCCCAAGGTCGGCTTCGGCTTCGGCTGAGCTCGGGCTTCTGCGGCCCGGTTTCACGCCTCCGCCTTCTCCGTGCCCACGGCCAGGACGATGATGTGCCCACCCACCTGGTAGCTTTTCAGCGGCTGGCTGGAAATTGGATTGCAGAACCAACAAACCAACCCCCCCCACCTACCTGGTAGTTGGAGTAGCTGGCTGGAAAGCGGATTGCATACCCAATAAGCCAAAAATGCCGAGAACCCCCCCAGCTGTGAACCCGCCAAGCCCCGTTTTCCCTTCGTCACCTTGGCAAGCCGAAGTACCCGATACCGCAAGGAGGTGCTGGCGAAGGGCCCCTCCCCAATAATCCCCGCCAACCCGTTGTCCCAGACCCCCAGCAAAAGGCCCTCTTTGTTTTGGAAAAAAGGGAACCCCGTAAACAAAGAAGCAAAAAAAAGAAAGGGCACAGCATGTCTGGGTTGCCATGGTTTCTTACCGCGTGGCCATCTCTCAAACGGGGTTTAGCCAAAGATTCGTTTGTGGTACCCAATTGACTCTGGAAAAAACGGATTCAAATCCGATCTCTCTGAACCCTGACTGGATGCTGGTCTGGGTGTTCCTGCTACATCTAAGCCAAGGCTGTTCAAACAATTGCTCTGCAAGAAAGACTGGTCTGCTTGTTCATAATTGTGGGTGCTCAACCTTCAGCCAGGACAAACCATATTTCAAGACTAGGATTGCTTGAAATCAATGTCAATTCCAGGGCAAATCTAACCTGCCCACGTTTCGACTTGTGACCCGAAACTGCTACTTGTGACCCGAAACTGCTCCTTTAAAGACAAACACCTCAAATGCGTCACCAGGTCCTCCAGTAGAGAGGCTAGAATAAGGCTGTCAACTTTTTTGTGTAGCCTATTTTAGTAGGGGAACCCTCCAACCAAAAAAAAGTTGGTAATTTCTGTAGCCTGTTTTAGTAAAAAAAGTTGGTAATTTCTGTAGCCGATTTTAGTAGGGGAACCCTCCCAACCAAAAAAGGGGAGAGAAAAGGGGCACCAATTGCTGGGGGACCTAGTCACCTCAGCGTCACCGAGCCGCCGCCAGTCGCTTCAAGGGCGGTCGCAGTGGCTTCAGCGATCTCTGATGCCTGCGTTTTGCGGATACGAATCTGGGGGTTGGGTTTGAAGGCAAGCCGACAAGAAACCACCTTTTTGGGTTGGTTCCACGCCATGCGAGAAAAAAACCCGCGGTTTCTGGCGTTTTGCTTGGGAAGCCTTGGGAAACCTGCGCGAAACCTCGGGAAACCGGCAACTGCAACAGAAACCCACGCGAAACTCAAGGGAAACCCTAAGAAAACTGCCGGAGACCGTGACGCGCGGGAAAAAGCCAAGCCGAAGGAGGGCCACAAACGCCGGTACACATGATTGAACTGGGCTGTCCTCAGATCCCCCGCTAGCTTTAATTGTTACTCGGCTAAATGGAAAACCCCAACACTCAAAAGCTAAAAAGCTAAGGGCCCCCTTAGGCTAAGGGGATGGCTGGGAGCCACCTTGGCTAAGCGTAACGATCAGAGATTGAAACTTAGATGTTCCGTTTGCTAGCTTTGTGCCATGGGCTTAGGGTGGTCGTGGATCCCTGGAAGAACTTAGACCACTATTGCGAGGGCTCCTCTTCAGGGATCTAAAACTCTAAAACCATGACCCACATAAGCAAAGTTCACCAGGAGTCACAATCAAAACCTGAGGGTCTTACCGAAACCCATGCTAAAGAGCATCAAAATGATCAAATGAGCAGATCTCGATGTGCTCTGACAAGGAAACTGCCCCTTAGCCTTCACTTACCCGAATCAGTCTTGATGGTGCCTGCGAAGGAAAAAAAACAAGTCGGCAACGTAGCTTTGGACAACCAAAAAAAACAACAACAAGAGCTTGTTGAAGTGACCCTCTTTGGAAGGTGCGGGTACCCTCCTGGCGAGAAAAGGGTGGTTCAAAGCGGGGAATCCGCAGAATGGCCGAGGCAAAATTCGCTTCAGAACAACCCCCTTCTGGGGAATAATTACCCCTTAAGGAAACGATCATGCAAGAAAGCCCCTTGGGGGCAACATGCTTGCAGGGAAGCAAGTCTTTGTTTGAGGGATAAGATGACGCTAGGAACGCGGCATCGCGACAAATTCGTGTTTGAGGCATAATCACGCAAGGAATCATGTTTTATTTGTTTTTCTGCAAAAATCAGCATGAGGAATGCGGTGATGCAAGACACCCCTCTGTCAGGAAAACGATGCTGCAAGAAATCCTATGTTGAAGCGACACCATCATGCAATAACTTTGTTTTCAATGCAGGAATCCTTTGAGTGAGCAAAACACTGACGCAGGACATGAGCTGCTTGCGGGAAACTCGTATGCAAGAGATGGCTTTGCCGAGAATACAAAGAAGCAAGCCTGTTTTGAGGAATCTCATGGTGAGGTAGTACAAACCACCTACTAAAACGGCCCATAGGGTTTGGAGCGCTGCTCAGTTGAATTCAATGACGTTGTTGTGAAAAGCATCTGAAGGCACTCTGAAGCGCATCTGGGATTGCCAGGCACTCAGGAGTATCCCCCCTGGCGGTAGGAGGAAAAACAAACAACATTACATAGATTTTGGGGGGACATTCGGCTAGGTTCTTGCCCATCACGAGAGCACACGGGGGCTCATGCGACCTTGCCCGACAGCCCAAAAGACCTGCAAATGACCCCTTGGTGGCCCCAAAATGGGTAAGTGGGTACCTGCTCGCTCTTTCGTCTCCCGTTCAAACCACCCCGAAGCGAGGGCCCTCAAGGAACGCCCCGCGTGACCTTCAGGAAACTGCTTGTTGGGTGGTTTTGCCATGTTTTGAGGACGTATGCTGAGACAAGGTGGGGGCTTTCGGGCGCCGGGTTTTTGCGGGTTAGCCTGCTGAAGCGCGAATTGGGGCCTGGAGAAAACATGACCCAAGATAGCGCCAGGTCAACCCAACTGTTGAGGTTTGGGAGTTAAATTTTAATGTTATGTCAATTGTATTTCCCAAAATCACTCGTCTTCCAAAGCGCAGGACCGCCTAGGGCCCTCAAAGCCCATCCAGCCAGCCTCCTGGCGACTCTGGCCAAGTTCAGTGCAGCAGCCTGACAGCGATCAAATTTTTCGCTGGGGGTCACAGGGAATGGCCGCAACTCCGGGCGGGTTTCGGAGATGGCCAGTGCTGCTGGGGGGCACTCCTTGAGCTTGATTGTCGTACTTCCCAAACCTTGGTATGGTCGCAAACAAGCCGTGGTGGTCGGTTTTGGGAACATCGCGAAAAATGACACCCCCTCTCCCCCGGGCCCCAAAGATTACTATGGCTTCATTAAGTAGGCACGGACAAGACTTCGCGAGCTACCATCCAAGCGCGCGGCCAGCAAACGAGCGGAACAAGCAAGTAAACGTCCTGAACCACTGATCAAACTTTGTGGAGCTACAACATAAAGGACCAAAAACGCGAAGAAAAATGCAACAGGTTTCTTTACCCCAAAATGTGCAGAGATGGTGTCTAAGCCATCAACATTTGCTCTAGTGCGCACCGCGTTGCCATATGCCAGCAAGCTCCCTTGCCGGGGGTCCGGGCCGGGTCCCGGAGTTTCAAGCGCCTAAGTTAAAAGAACGGATCCTTCCGTTTGTTAGACAGACATACCCGGCGTAACCCGGCAAATCGATTTCCTCTTCAAGAGGACCCCCGAGTATAAATAGGCTGGTCTTCTTATGGCTTCACCAATGTTCCTTTAAAAACAGCTGCTGTCAAACGTGGGAGCCGGAGTCGTAAAGTGAACGGCAAAAGGCCGTCAGGCTCCACGCTGGCCTTGTGCTCCGCCTTCAGGCTCACGTGATTCAGCTCCGGAATGTCATCTTCCTCGCGACACAGCCCCTCCCACGCCGCCAAATACCAGTAGGGCGGGAGGAGAGAGAGAGAGAGAGAGAGAGAGAGAGAGAGAGAGAGAGAGAGAGAGAGAGAAATAAGCAAAAAGAAAAGCAAAAAGAAAAGCAAAACAGCGGCACAACGAGGTATCGAGCGGCGCAAAGCGCACAAAGACACGCATACGGCCCGGTGTCTCCACAAGCAGGAAATGCAAAAAAAAATCGTGGCAGGCCACTTGCTCGTCACTGATAACAGCGTCGCTTGTTTTTCGCTTGCAACTCACCTTCCATTTGCTGGAGTCCCCGGGACTCGAAAAGAAACGTCCAATCCTCACGGATTCCCAAAAAAGAACTGCCCGGGGAGAATGAGGCGCAGATTCCCAAGCGAAATGGAAGCCGGAGAAAGTGGGGGACAAGTTGGTGGGGTTCTATTGAAATGGTTGTGACAATATAGTCATAGTGGTTGATATAGGCCATAGCGCTGGATTTGGAGGCTTTCGGCTGCATCCGTCGTCTCCGGACTCGCACAAGGTATCACCACGCCTTGTGAATGAGCTTGACAATGGTATCGCCTCAGTCCGCTTTCCCCCGAAAACCCTGGGCTTCTTGCGTCGCTTGTCGTGGCGGAATTCAGGGACCCCAGGCATTTGTAAGACACCCAAAACCCTGTGCTTCTTGAGGCGCTTCTAGGGGGAGTTCAGGAAAACCTGAAAAGAAAAGCTTCACCTGTTGGAACGACCTGCGAAAACCGCAAGTCAAAAGGCCCATTCGGGTCTGAGCAAGCGAGCTTGGCAATACGTTGTGTAAAACATCGGTTTAGGGAGGATCCCCTGTTTCTTCGAACAAGGGGGTCAAAGCACAAGGGGTGTCAAAGCCGTGGTTGTTCTAGGGGTACCTTCCCCATTCTTTCCAGGGATCCTTCTTTTCAGGAAAACATCAAAATCCCAGGGGAAACGGATCCGGTGTTTGAAACGGATCCGGTGGTTGAAAAGAATGGTTGCAAGGAATCAACCCCTAGAAGTGCGGGGGTTGAGAAAAAACCGTCATTTCCCTCTACCAAAGTGGGCCGTCATTTCCGCGTCGCAACCGAAAGCGCCTGCATCCTCTTCCTCGCGGTCGGCATCCTGACCCGGGCGGGGAGGCCAGTGCAACCGTCTTGCGCGGCATGTAAGCACAGAGGTAGGTGGGTCTGGGGAGTTTTCCTTGAGACTTCCAATTGCTTTTTCGCCCCCTGGGAAAAATAAACATACGTCCAGTAGTCATAGGTTCCCTTTAAAACAAAGAATAATATTATTCATTTCAGCAAATGGAAGGAATGGATCTCCTACTTCTGGCTCCCCTGACTTCAAGAATGAGATCCTTCGCGAAAAGGGGATGCTGCGCTCAAAGGAGTTGACACCCGAGGCAAACAAGGGCAGCTGCAGGCCCTTCGATCCAGCGAAACGAACCTTCTTGCAAGGAGAAAATGGACCATTCGAAGTCGCTTATTCGGGTATGGATTAATATTAAACCAAGAGGGGCAGCACAGTTTTTAGACCATGTTTCCACTTACCAGGGTTCCATTTTTCACTTGGATCTGGTTGTCATGCTTCGAAGAGTTTCGGAAACCGCTCTCCGCCTCCATCTCCCGAGCACGATCCTCCATCTCCCGAGCACGATCAATATTCCGAACATTCGAATTCTCAAAATGTTGCCCAATCTCGAAGGAAGTAGGTCCTCCAGTAGAGAGGTCAGAATAAGTTGGTACCCGATTTTTCCCCAACAGCTGAAAGCTTTGGGGTCTTGGCCCAGATAGGCTCCGGGGTGGTCCGGGGCAGCCCTGAGGTGAGGATCCACGAGGGTTCCACCAGGGTTCCACGAGGTTCTGCGAGGTTCTGCGAGGGCTGCGGGCACTACACAGAGCACCGCATGCTGTTGGGGGTATCACCTGAGCCTATTTTCTGTAGCCTATTTTAGTAGGGGAACCCTCCCAACCAAAAAAAGACACGGTAAAAGGGCACCTAGCTGCAGGGGACCTACTGTGGATGGACGAAATCCGGCACCACCTAAGAAACCCTGGAATGATTCGACTCCCCTGTAAATACCAACAAACGCTATGGTTTCAACCATGGTTTCCGTTCGTGGCGCGATTTCTGGATTTCGCACCCATCCACCGGAGGAACCAGCGGCGGGAGGCGCCACCCGGCCTCGTCCATGGACACGCGCTCCCGCCGGCCCAGGAAAACCATGCCCACGTCGCACTGCATGATGGCCTCTGCAGCTCAGCTTCTGCTGCCGCTCCGTGCGGTCCGCGGGGGTCGGTTCGGGGACTTCTGGGATCAAAGTGGCCTCTGATCCTTGCAAAGACATAGCATATGGGGCTCACATTTTGAAAGAGTCTGGGGTTGCGCGGGTTTTGGTCTCTGGTTCCATTGGCCAAGGTGCCATGTTGGTACCACTTTTTTGAGCCACAGCCATATGGTCTGACCAGTGAAGGAGCAAATTGTGAAAAGGCTACGGGTTGTGCAGAACGCTACAGGTTGTTCACCTGTTCCTGGCTCGGTGGCTTCCCCTTTAGCAACTGGGATGCTTCTGACAATACGGAGAACCCCTACGCCACACCACTGAGCCTCAAGACAAGAGCTTAAGGCAACCGCGCGGCTCAGGTTCCCCGCGAGCCAAGGTGATGCTTTAAACCACCAAGGGAAATATAGGGAAACCCGCCTGCTTTGTCTTTTGTTCAGGGAACACCTTTCGGTTTCCAGCCGAAACCAAAAACATCCACCGCTGACGTCGTTCCAACCCCAAACGAGTGGTCCCCTGTGGCAACGGCTTCCTTTGGGTGTCCTTCGAAAACCCAAAGGGGTCAGTGAGATTTCCCTAGGGCTGATTCTTCAAGGGGTGATCCCCCAAAATGGAATTCGGCGTTCCTTTCGGATTCCCCAAAAAAGGGGGAATCGAAAAAAACAGGTGTTCCTTTGGGCTTCCTTTCGGTGTTCCTTTCGGAAGCCAAAAGGGGGTTTCCAGCGAAGAAAACCACGCGCCAGCCACCAAGGGAACCAAATCCCCCCGCCGGTCTCGCTCGAATTTGGCTCAGCGGGTTCCGCTCGGGTTCCGCCTCCCGATCGGAGGCCAGGAAGATGCCCATGACGTGGAACCCAGGCAGCGCCTTGAAATAAACAAAGGCCGGTGCCATGGGAAACCACATGGGAAACCACATGGATCTAGTGGTACATGGAAACCACATGGAAACCAAATGAGTGATCCCCCCCGCAAAAAAAAAAGGGAAAGAAACTAAACAACCCCATGGATGGAAAAATATATAATCCCCTGGCTAAATCCTATGGACCAGCTGCCGCCAGTGATTCCAACTCCCTGGGTTTTGTAGTCACCAAAATATTCCCGCCCTTTGCAACAGAGAAAATGACGAAGGGGTACCTATTATCTACGGAGGAAACGGGGATCTCCTGGGATGGTTGAACCACTACCCATGGTTGAACAACCTCCTTTGGGATTATTTAAAAGGAACCGATGGTTTATCCCCACCCGCTCGCATGAACCGGTCCGCAGCCAAAGCAGCCAAGCTGGATGTGCAAGTGTCTCGCCAAAACGAGGAACCTATGGTTTAAACCACCGGTTTGATCAACTTGTTGAACGCCCCTGGTTTCAACAACCATTGTTTGAAGGGAAGCCCGACAAGTCCCATGGGCTGAACGTGGTAAACCCACGACCAAAGGCCAGGCCTGCTTGATCTTGTAGTTCGGGCCCGGGTTGATGAGGACCTTCCTGAAGGGCAAAGCAATTGAGTCACAATCAAAACCCGGTACAAAAATGGTCGACCCAGAACCATGTCAAGAACTAAGAAGCCGGATATCCGCAGCTATTCATGGCTGGGATCGTCCCTAACCTTCACTTACCCTGGTTTTGAGTGGCTCATTTGGCGTTTGGCGGTAGAAGGACCACACACACACACACACCGTTTCGGGCGTGGCTTCCGTTCTCCCAGAACAAACGCTGCACGGCAACTCACGTTTTAAGTTTTGCAATGGGCGCCAAAGAGTCGAAACCGCTGAAAGGGGCAGCTTGAAGGACTGAGCCTCGGCCCGTGGAGCAAAGTTAAGGGAAACAAGAAGCCGCCGCTTCAAGAGAGAACTCTCCACAATTGTCAAGGGAAGGCCCTTCTTCAAAATCCTTGGCCCCCCTCCCCCCCGACTGTTTTAAGAGATATGATGCCACGCAACCGTCCCTTGCTTCTTTGTTTACTGCCCTCAGTGCAATGGATGGATGGACATGGACAGCCGGTAACTCTTGCCCAAACCTCCGTGGCATCGCGGCCCGAAGCTTCGGCCCAACCTGGGCTGCCGGCTTGGAATCCGTCCGGGCCTCCACTAGGCCTCGAAACGGCGAAACGGCGGGCGCGCGTGCTGGGCTTGTCATGCGGGCACCGTCTGCGCCTAGCCGGGTGCGCTTGAGAGAGGGTTCTTGTCATTTGGCAGGCGCAGGGGTGTATATCACTTGACAAATGTGTGTGTGTGTGTGTGCAGTGCTGCGTGGGTGCACTTGAGCGGGGCTTCTCATTATCTGTGTGTGAGATCATTTGGCAGGCGTGTTTTTGGCGGTGTTAGCCGGCTCCACTCTGGGCCATGTGGGGCTTACGGCCCAGACAGGGCTGCGAAAGTGGGGCGAACCAATGACAAGGTATGTGATTTCAGTAGTTGAGGGCCACGCCTAGCAATAAATTGCTTTCATACATACCCCCCACCCTACAACTTTTTCCATCTTCCATCTTCTACCCTTATTTGTTTTCATCATTTTTCTACATTCCTTTCTGTCCATCTCATCCATTTTTTCTCATCATTTTTCCAAAATTTCCGCTATCCTTTTCTCCTTCCTCCTTGCCTCATTCATTTCATCATATACCTCTCAAAATATCATTTCCTCAATCTCCTCGCCTCATCCATTTCATAAAAATAAATTTTGCAAAATATATTGCAAAAAATATTTGTCATCAAAAAAATATTCGAACTGTCTAAAAACGATTTTCCCATTTCTCAGACAAAAAATAGAACAGCAACAACATCACTCCCCTCTCTCGTTTCATCATTTTTATCATACAATTTTAATAGGCGTGGCCCTCCTTGTAGGATTTAATCTTCAACATATAAAACGCTATACTTACATTATAATTATAACATGTAAGGGTATAAATGTTATAATTATAGTATGGGTTTAATCTATTTTATATTCAAGTAGTAATATTTATCAAGCTCATGCTCGTAAAATAGTTGCACAGCATTAATATTTATGTAATATCTATTCTTGATTTTTTGGTATTTAAATATATTATTCAATACCTGATAGTTGAATACTGATTCTGTTGAACGCTTAAACCGAAAACGATAGGTAGACACAATTGGATATACTTCTTTTCGCGGAACTAATTTAGTTTCTTTTTTATTTATTGCCTGAATAAACTTATTGTATATGTTGGTTTTTTCTTCTTCCCTTTTTTTCTCTTCTTCTACCTTTTTAGTGTTACATTCCTTGCATAATATTAAACTTGTATCACTTGTCGGAAAATCATCATGAACGTGTGTTTCTTCCACACATCCACACTTCTTAGTTTCTCTTGATGTTAAAGTCCATCCCATATTTACTATAATATATATAGTGTGTATTTCTTTAAATACTTTTTCCAAGAAAAAAATAAATATTGAAATATAATTATAACATATAAGGGTATAAATGTTATAATCATAGTATGGTTTTAGTCAAAGTCATTAGTATTTAAATATTCCTTTGTAATCTTTGGTATTTGTTTAAAGTTCTTTTTATTATTGTTAAATGGATATTTTTCATCAGCAAAATCATAAATGCAAAATTTTATGCCCCAGCTTCTTAAAATACGTTTAATATCATTTATCACATCACCGTATATTAATTTACCTATTATATTGTTCTTCTGGTCATCCTTAATATAATCACATATTTTATCAATTATGTTTTTCAATTCTTGTTTTCTTTGTTTTACGTAGTCTAAAAATGTTTCCTTACAATCATTTTCAATTTTATTATTTGATTCATCATAATCATCAATAAATTTACGTATCATTTTATTATTAAATCCTTCAATTGGTCTTGTTGTTCCAGTTCTGCTACCACCATAGTTAACTTCATATGAACATTCGTAGTAATATTTAATATCATTATGAAATTTTAAATTATATGTTTCGTTATCTTGTAGTATATATTGTTTCATTTTTTTATATTCAGGAAATTTGTTTAACTTTATAAAACAATAGGTTCTTAATGATTCGTCATTATTGAGAAATGTATTTTCTTGAAATACCAATTTGTATTTATCATAAATACATTGTCTCAATGTTGAATGTAAATTACTTTTATGTAATACTTGCTTTGCATTTCTTAATAAAAAACATTTCTCGCATTCAACATAATTAAAAGCACAAATGTTTTTAACAATTGGATTAGGTAAATTTAACTTAGTTAGTTCAGTTGTTTCATTTATTAGTTTACATTTACAACTACTGATAATGTCATTAACTTTTATTTTATTCAAAAAGTCATTAATAATTTCTTCTTGCTCTTTTTCAGTAAATTCAACCATTTCTATTATAATATATATATATATAGTGTTTATTTCTTTAAATACTTTTTTCCAAGAAATAAATTTATACTTTTAATAACTCATGTCTCAAAAATGCCCTGTCATAATTTTCAATATAATAATATTCTTGTCCTAACTTCTTTTCAATCTTTGCTATTTTGTAGGTTTGTTTAGTCCATACACCAACTCTCTCCTTTTCATTCGGTCTCCTTTTTCTGAATATCTTAACCTCATTTCCTACACTTAAATCTGGATAAACTCTATTTCTTTTGGCTTTCATACCTAAGTTTAAACTCACTTCTAATTGATGTTTAGGCTTCCTTGCTTCTGACGGTGTTAAGCCGTGTGAAGTGTGCTTTATTCCATTGTTGTAAGTTAATACAATCTCGTGTATGTAGTCTGTCCATTGAATAGCCTTGTCTTTCTTCTCATCGTTTTCAACCCTCTTATACAAGCTATCTTTAAACGTCCTTATCGCCCTCTCCGCGAATGCTGGGTGACCTCTGGTTCTGTGCAACTCTATTTTTTCATCCTTCAAAAAATCTATAACACTTTGATTATTATAAGCTCCTTCATCGTCAATATAAATTAGTTTGGGCTTTCCATCCATTTTTTTAATACATTCCATCAGTCCTGCTAAAATGTCCGCTGGCTGTTTTGACATAAGCGGGACAACAACCATATACTTAGAAAAGATGTCAATACACATCATACCAACTTTCATTTTTTGTTTAGGGATATCATTAATAAAAAAAATAAATCAATTTGAAACTCATAATATGCGTTAGGAGCTACAAATGAATTCTGTCCTCTTGGCTTGGCTTTCTGTTCTACGTTCTTCCTAAAAAACTCATTGATATCATTAATAGTAATTGATTTATCTTTTTGTCTTGCTTCTTGTAAAGTGCGATTCTTTGACCCGAAGCCTCCCTTATCATAATAAGCATTATTAATAATATCTTGCTTAGATGCCATATAAAATAAGATAGATATTATTTTTCCCGGCGATTACAGTTTAAACAGTAAGATATACAGTTTTCCTTATGATGGGCATAATCGTTGTTTATTCTTTGGGCTGTCATATTACTATTTATTACTCCATTATTTATTTCTATGTCAAACTCTGAACTGCATTTATTACATCTGGTATTAAGCCTGTCAAATAACCATTTGACATCAATATATTTTTTGTTGTCTATCTCTCTCTCTGCTTTCATGTCTTGTAATTTATATTGTTTAATCTTATGTTCTAAATATCTGGTTACTTGTGCTTCATTTAAATCAGTATCATCTGTTTCTGCTTTGAAAAACTTGACTTTATTGATATCTCTGCATCTCGTGAGGGCTGTCCAAATCCACTCACGGCTGACCAAATGTGATTTATCCCATTCGTGGATTGTAATGTTTTTATCTACCGAACTACCTTGAGACGAATGACATGTAGCACAATACGCAGGTATAAAGTGCTTGTCTAAAGTTGTGGTGTTTGTCAGGAATATAGTTTTACTTTTGATATCTTG